ATATGCCTCCAACTGAACGCGATCGAGGAATATCTAATGATATTTCCACGAGACATTCTAGAATTATCAAACCTTGCGTTCAAATTAAAGAGAAGCTCTTCCTTGAGAGTTAATTCGAGTGAGGAGAGCATTCGTTGCATGTGGTTGCACCGAAGGTAACTCGCTCGTTTGGTCGTACAAATTATTTCTTTTTTTTTTTTGACGAGCTTCCTCGAGAAAGTTTTCATTGCTCATAACTACAGGGTCCAATTTAACCTCGAAAAGTATATTTTTCGTTATTTCCAAGCTTAATTCAATCGTGTTTCAATGCCTAACTTTAATTAATATTACAGGTACTCACTGCAGGTACTCACTGCTGGTAGTTACCCATGTTCTTGGAGGCATTTGCATTTCCAAGCTGTTTCAAGTTTTCTCTTCAATTACTTGTTTTATTTTTATAAATTCCGTTTTCTCGTGTCAAGCCAAAACAAAATACGTCATTCAACTCTTTTTCAAGCGCAATGGATTGAATACTGAAGAGGGTATAGGGTGAATTCGTTTTTTTTTGTTTTTCCTGCGAGTATTCAAAACGAAAATGAAAACCGTCAGCATTAATTATTGGAAAGCCTGAAGTAAAATAAAAAAAAAGAAAAAGCAAATTTTGGAAATCGTATTCAATTTTAAAAGAAACGAAATTTGTATGTCGTACTCCTGCCCTATTGAAAATCGGTTGTCATGACGCATAGATAGACGTATTCAAGGCCTCCTCTTCTGACATTCGGAAACACCCCTAGGTACGAACGCGGAGCGGAGGTATTGCTAGCGAGTTGGAAGCGTAAGAGCGCATTCCTTTCTTCCAGTCTATGGCCGTTTTGTTTTGTTTTTCAGCAGAGAGACCTGTGAGCGAGAGGACGAACCAATTACGTTACTAAAAGAAATTGAGCTCATGAAATAAAACATTTATATATGCATTTTATTTAAACTTATCTACAAAGTACAATTTTTTTTTTAAATCTCATATGAAAATATTGCTTGAAAAAATAAAAACTCCTCAACGGGAGCCATTGATCTTAAATCTAATTCTGGACTACTAGGTCTAGGTAGCTGCGAATAGCGTCCAAGTACATAAAGGTTTTTAAGATTTTCCTTAGCATTAAGGACAGCAGAAAAAAATCGCATGCCTTGAAAACAGCAACTATTGTAAATGATAAATTGCCACCATATAAACTCTGAAGCCAAGAAATAGCTTACAGTCTCAAATATTAAAGAACAGAAACAGAATGTTCAAGCTGATTTGTTTTGGTTTTTCTGTGTTATCTGGAATACCATCTGTGGTTCCGCAGCCTCTCTTTCCTTTGTGACTCACCTGAAAATGAAGACAAAAGAGAAAACTGTTTAACTGTCTTAAAATGGTATCGTGGAAGCAAAAAATGGAGCTACATGTGTATAAAGGAAAGAAATCAAGCGAGTGAATTCTGAAAAGGTGTAATTCTGCCCGTGGTGTGTGTTGTGGGAGAAACAGTGCATGTTCAAAAGCCTACCTCCACTGGCTTCTCCAACAGTTGTTGTGGAAGGATTCCATATCCACTTAACCTGTCGAAATGCGAGTTAAATCAGATTAACAAGGAAGTCGGTCATTTCGCCTATTTCACGCTCCCCCTCCCCTTCATCTCCCCACCTCAGTGTGTTCCAGTTTTGTAAGGTCCTAGATTGCGTCCCTAATGCGGTCTGCGGATAAGATTACCTCTTCGCATAAAACCACGAGCACTCCCTCCTTTTCGGCGGAAGGCCTCACTCCCAGAGTTCTACGCGGCACGCTAGAACCCAATTTTTTTTCTTTTTTTTATGGGTGGAGGGGTGCTGTTATTATTATTATTTTTTTTTTTTTTTTTTTTTTTTGACTTACGTGACGGTTTTCGCCGAACAGGAGGGATTGTTCGTGGTCTATCTTGGCACCAGATACACAGTTGGTTGGATGTGTAAAAGGCAATAAAATCGACTGTAAGAGGACGCGGGAACCAAGCGTCGTTTGTTTAAATCCCTCATTGCGCCCTTCGCTAAAAGAAAAAATAGCTGGCAACTTACCCCATCCGGGTAGTTATACGAGTTCACCATGTTCGGCTGGGGGTGGTTGTGGCGTGAATATGGAATCACAAACGCAGTAGGGAAGGGTTTCCTCTGTTGAAAGTGTCGTTGATATGTAGTGGAGCCAAATCTGTAGTTGATTGGAGCGTAGTTGGCAGAAGATACCCTGAAATTGAACATGGGCTTTGGTCAGTTTCATAACAACTATTGGAGGGCATCGTTTTGGAATGAAAAAAGCGAACTTTTTTGCAAATGTCTCTCTTGCCACAAAGAACATCAAACGAATGAGCCTATAATTTAAAATGTTGGGATATACTTTGGTAATCTCAAAATGAAAATATTTTTCGGACAATGGAAAGCTACCATGTTTTCAACCATTGACTTAATCTTGGGAAAGAGAGAAACCAGGGAAAGAGAGTGAAAGATGAAGTGTTTCTTGGGCTAACAGACGATTGCGAATGCTTCAAAAACATTTTTGACCCTCACATATGAAAAAGGCAAAGCTTGGAGCTATCTGACTTTCGACTTAAGCCATTGAACCAGAGCGGTGTCAAAAATACTGTTTTTATCGCCCGCAAGACTCTCACATTTGCAATATGTGTTACGTCGGGAGCATGAACAGTTGTTCCAAACCGCATAGAAATATTAGCTAACACTTAACTCAAGTGTTGTTTTCTTAATCATAATACCATTAATTTAGCTTGTAAACTACCATTTGGTTGTCGCTACTTCCAAAAAAAGGCACGCGTTCGTCTGCGTTACTATGACAACCAGTTAGAGCGTATCAGGCACAGTACTGGGTACTCGAGTATTTTTACCTGTTTGGCAAAGGAGGCGGCCAATATCTGCCTTCAAAATCGCTGTTATATTTTGTTTCGTACATGTGAGTGAAGGAATACGGCTTAAAAGCTGGCTGGTACAGGGCTGAAAGCGATGTCAGCCTCACACCTGGCCGCTGACTCCCTGCCGAAGGTGTCTGTTCGACATCGGCTGCAAAGCGAGAAGAGTAAACAAATGATCATTGACTTCTCTGCAATAACTACGAGACCAAATCAAATGAATAAAAATTGAAATAAGTGCAAAAGGATACGGAAATCATCCTTTTACTTACTTGTAACTGGTCGAGTTTGGCTGTGGCGAGAAGAATACGATGTACCTTCAGGTCGGCGATTCGTTGTCGTCTCGGGACGCAAAGATTGCCGTGAGGGCGGATAGTTTTCCGATGTGTCTTTCATGTTGAAAGTTCTTTCTTTGCGGATTACCTCATTTCGATCCTTTGTTTGAAGTGAGTTCTATTTTCCTTGGTTAATAAACAGTTTAAACAAGCGGAAAACGATGAGACAGCTGCCTCGAAGTCCACTCGAATCGAAGTCAATGTTTCAGTGGGGGACCCGGTGGGGAAAAATTAACGCCCGGTTGACTATGAGGGTATTCAGCGGACACACATCTAGGGCTAAAGATGCCGTGTAAGTGGAATGGAAAACTACAGGACATTTGCCATGAGCATACACAACCTAAAAAATTACGCATAGACCTGTTTCTTGCACAAGATGTAAATATCGGCCAGCCTCTACGACTGTTGATAACCTATGTTTTGTAAAAACCCATGTCAGCCTGCTTTATCCAGGACTGAGAATGCAACCATATGATTTCGGCGAAATTTACTGAACGATCTTCACGCAGTGATGTAGTTTATGTCAGTCAACATTTTGAAAAAAAAAATAGATAACGAGCACAAGAATTTGGAAAAGTATTGGGTGCAAAAATATTGTCAAAACCCGGAAAAGAGAAAGTAAAAAAAGCTAGCTTGATTTCATGTTTCCAGTCTCGGTAAAGTGAAATTTGATTATGTCGTAGAATTAAGGTTGTTTACTGGAAAATAGCACTCATCTGAGAAAGTCTAGTCAACAGTGACAAGTAAACCCGTAATTGTATCAGGAAAATACCGCGTAAACACAAGATTTAATCCAAGGAGAACTTTTGAAAGCAAAGAAACGGGTATCTAACATCTAACATGGCAGTCGGCGCAGAAAGTAAATCTTTTCAACCTTCGCCAAAAGAGCAATCGCGATGCAAAACAACTGAATATCGATCAAATATACTTATGCAAATATTTTTCACAATTTTTACGTAAGTTAGCAAAACTACCCATTCCAAAATAAACGCTTTTTTTAAATATAAAAAATAGCTCAAAAATTGTGCTACATCAGTAGAACCTTGCAGTCTTTAAAGACTGCCTATTTTTCAAGTTGTCACCATGTTGTCACGCAACGTAACAACGATGAAAACTCATCCCAGTGTCCTCTCCGTTCACCATCTTGGACTTGAGTTTGCACCTGGCTTTTATAAAACGAGGTAATAAAACTTACTTATTCATTCGTTGCAATTAGAATTCTAAACTGCTCTAAATGCAAAATGCCCTGGAAATGTCTCACAAACTTTACGTGCAAAAGGCTCGAGAACATCAATTCGTCGAATTTGTCAAATCATTAACTTAGGTACTGCGCCTGCAAACTCAGCTGCCAGTGGATAAAAATAAGGGGGCGGACTGGTCACTAATTGACACAACATACACACCAAAGAACAACAGGAAGTTGACTCGCAAAAAATCAGAGTTGTTTCGAGAAAAAGACAGATATTAATGGGTCACAAATGCTCGTCATTTTGCAGACCATCAGTAACGGTGAATGGGAAAAAATACCGAGTGGTTAAAGAACTGGGAGAAGGAGGTAACTTAATAAACCAGATCATTCATGCATTCTACCATCTGTTAAGTTTACGTACGTATGTAATATACGTACGCAATTTGCCTGGTGTTTGAAATATTGTAACTTCCTTCGGCAACTCTTTTTGTAACCGAAATTATGAACGTCGAAGTGATGTACTTCAAGAAGGAAATTGTCCTCAGCTGTCGTATTGTTTTTAGAAGCTTCATTCTACTGTTTGTGACTAACAATTTGCCGGCCGAAATTCTTACAGATCCTCTTACCGCTCACTGGCTTAAATGAAGCCCGGCCGAGTTAAGTTATGTTTCTGTTAATGGTTAAGTAAAGAAGGTATTGATCGGGTCCATAGATAGAAAGTGAAAAATCATCGAAAAAATACTTGAACTTCAAACAGGAGACTGGAATAAAATCATCCTGTGATCTGAGTTTAAAATTTAATTTTCCCTAAAATATGACTTCAATATAAATCAGCCGACTTAATTAGGAAGTAATTTGGATATATCAACAAAGTTGAAATGGTAAATTGGCCACCGTAACGATTACAAAAGCTGACGTTTCGAGCGTTAGCCCTTTGTCGGAGCAAAGGGCTAACGAAAGGGCTTTAATTTTCGTTAGCCCCTTTGCTCTGATGAAGGGCTAACTCTCAAAATGTGAGCTTTTGTAATCATTACCGTGACCAATTTACCATTTCAACTTTGTTGATATATCCAAATTATATCATTACTCCCACCGACGCAGCCCCAAACAGTTTCTTTCGAAACTTTCAGCCTTTATTAATTAGGAAGTAAACAGAAGTATGCTAACAAAACGCAAAGAAGCAAAAAAAAAAAGGAACACAACAAAACAAGTAGCAGTGAGAGGGGTTTCAATAAAAGATGTTTACCAGGGGTCTATTTCTGCCCTATAAGACCTCTTACCATTGTCAAGTTTGCAAGCTGGCTCTCGAATTAGGGTTTTGCCTTACCAAGTGGCAGATATAGGGGAGGGATCTAGGGGGCCTGAGGGGTTCCCCTTATTATGGGTAAAAAAATATATGCAGAGGAAGGAAAAGCGAGCAGGTGTACACACACACACAAAACTGCCCCTCCTTAGCTCAAGGTCTTTGTCTGCCACTGTTACCGCCCTTTATCCCAGCACAACTGCCTGTTACACCTTCCCAGTTGCCTATGGAAAACGTTTTTGAAACCTGTAAGTAATCAATTAATAAAGATGATGATGACAGTAATAAGTAAAATTAATGATCATGATAATAATGGTAATAATGGTGTCAGTGATGATCTATTTGTTTTTATCGGTATGAACTTGTTACCACCCCAAATTCTATTTTTTTTTCAGTCTTAATTATTTAAAAATTTTAAAGAGTGAAAAAATTGGTAGAATAAGTGTCATTGCCAGCTTATTTTTACCCCTGACACTTCATTTATACCTAATCTATCACCATTGTTACATCGCAGCAAAGACTCTTCTGAGAGAAATAGTTGATTACTTCCCTAACCTTAAAAAGAATGATTTTTCCCAAAGATGAGTGATAAGAAAAAGTGATGAAATGATAGTTCAGATACATTGAAATCAGTTATCACAATTTGGATTTTGATTTATCAGAGTTCTTAGATTAACAATACTTTATTAGACGACTTGGACAGTCAGAGGGCCAATAACTAAAATCAACCAATCAAAATGCTCTATTGCCAGGTAATATTCTCTCAGTATTGGACCGGGCACTGTCCCGAATGATACCGCACTTGTGTCCCTTTGAACTTCAGTCCTATAATAAATCTCTTATTGACCAAGCTTGCTCGGGACGGTACTGGAAGAATATCGGCCCTCGGTCTTTTTTGTACCGACCTCTCTGCACTCAGTCCATACTGTCAAAACCTTGGGCCGATATTCTCCCAGTACGGCCCTCGCGCTTGGTTAATAAGATTTATGTATTCCCTCAGCCTTCATCTTTGGCAAGTTACAATATTGAGGAACTCAGCTCGGACAGCTCAAATATTTTGATCAACTTTTTTGAATAATTGTTGAGGGTAAACATGGCTTGAAGGTTTCCTGTTCTTAATTTTAATCCCTATGTAACATTTAATTGCAATTAATGCTCCTTTTTAGAATTGAATTATTTTATTATTATAAGTAGTAGTAGTATTATAATTATTATTAGTAGTATTATTATTGAATAAATGTGATAAATTAATTTTAAAATACAACTTTAAACTGTACCTTTGGATGTTTTCTTTCCAGCCTTCTCCTATGTTAACTTAGTTCATCATGGAAATGAATGGTTTGCTCTGGTAAGTTTAATGTGTTAGTGCAGTCCATGCACTTCATGGAAATTATCTTTTAGACACACAAATCTGTGCTCTCTCTAAGACTGAAGAGAGAAAATATGGCAGATCTCAGTTACACTAATGCTTCCAGTTTTTCTCTGGCTTGGTTTCAAGGAAGCCATGCTTTCCCAAACATATTTTTCAAACTTGCTAAGGGAGGGAATCTTATGGATCTCCTTCATCCGTGTATAATGTTTCAATCATTTGATCATTTCCATTCTTTCCCTTTAGAAAAGAATCCGTCTTGATCTTCCTGAACAAGAAGAGGTGAATGCAATATTCTTTTGGAGATAAAACTTAAAATACTCTTCAGACAGTAAGACAAATGGTCTCATTGTACATTTACCGGTATAGGCATTCTTTAACAAGTTTTATTAGAAAGCTCTTGGCTAGACAAAATCTGACTCCTATCGTAGAATATCATGCTTTCAAACTTTTTTATGCATGCCTAATCCAAAAAAACTTCTACTGTGACTGGACAGCTCTAACTATTAGACCAGAGGTTTCAACAAATTTTTTGATAAGCAGCTACCAACAGTGTCAGTAAGAAATGGCTGTACCCAGAAATGAGGCCATAATAAACCCAAGCATGAAGCCTTTACGCAGGTCAAACAGACAAGGGTAAGAGGTCTTATGGATGTCTTTGGATCTGCTATCTGTAATGATGTTCTAACACCATCTTGTAAAAGAAACTCAGGGTTTAGAACTTTCCACTCAAGTGCATGTAGGGTATGAATAAAGTAGTCTGGGTAACTCATTTAGAAACATAACTTCCCACTCAAATTTTAAGATAACGTTACTGAAAAATTTTATTAAAGAAAATACCTCGATAGATCATTTTAAGATCAGTAGGACGTTTTAAGTACAATTTTAGTATTATGAATTTTTTATTAGGTATTTTTACCTTTAATAGGATTTGTTGGGGGCCATTATGTAAACTAGCTACCGGGTTAACGGTAATAATGTATTTTACCCTCGGTAAATAAAGTGTTTGTTGTGTTTGTTGTTTGAGTAGTAAATCTCATGCTTTTTACTTAGAACAGCAGCTGTGTAAAGAAAATTGCTAATGAGCATTTTTATTTAGTTCTGAGATTTCATTTGTTCTAATCACAATAGGCATTTGATCGTGAGGTAGAAGCTCATAGAGCTGTTTCTCACCCAAGTGTCCTTGACTTGCATGATGTGGATGTGGTATCTAAAGGAACATATAAAGAGGCACGCATGCTTGTGACATACTACAAGGTATCTTAATTCCTCCTGCTGCATTTCCTTAGATCTCAGTTTACCCAAATTTGAGTGCATTTGGGTTGATTTCCATTAAATGTAACTTTAGCCCCTTGACCCCTTAAAGTGACTAGTATCTTATTTCTCCTGACAGTATCACCCTTTAATCAAACAACTTCATGAAAATAAAGAAATATCTTTTACGAAAGACATTCTTCATAATTGATTCACACTTTAAGGTCACACACGCATGAAGAATTCAAAGTAATCACCGACCAAAGGTGCTGTTCACTTCTGATTCAAACATTGAGGTCAGGAAAATAAAGAAAATGATCACCAACAAAAGATGCTCTAAATATGAAAACAGATTCTCTTCATCATACCATAGGAAATGTTTGGAGAACAGTATAGAGAATATGCATACTGATGTTAAGGTGTAAAAAGGTACGGTCAAACCAAAAGGACTTTTTTACTATACTCAGATCATTCAATTTCTCCTAGAATGGAACAGTGCAAGACTTAATTGAGCGCACACAACTTGAAGGAGGTCACATCCCTGAGTTAAATATTCTTCACATGTTCAAGTCACTATGTGAAGCTATACTTCCCTTTCATAGCTTAGACCCACCTCTGGCACACAGAGATATCAAGGTAGGTTGAGTCTGTGTTAAGGACCAGAGCTTACATACCAGACTGAGTCGCATACAGCTGCTGTTTATCCCAGTTTTTGTGACATGAAAGACTTAGAATTATTCTCATGTCTCCAGGATGAGATGCTAAGAGGTTATCCCCAGCATTTTAGCCATGTTTCCTTGACAGTTGACTGGTGTTTCTATGTTTGACTTAATACTCCTCTGTTGTGACGGAAAAAGCAGAAGTTAATTGTCTTGTTCAGGAACACAACACAGTGATTGTTACTCGGACTGGAATGCAGGCCTTTTCATTCAGTGGAGTCCAGTTCACAGATCCATCATATCCCCCCTATACCATGGTCCAAAATGTTGTTGTGGACTCGCCACAATCGTATGATATTTTTCAATAGAAACCACGCAGATGCATCATTTGTAGGCAATAAATAATGTTTGGGAAAGGTTTTCCACTCAGCTGATACCCCTTTTTTCAGCCTCATAATTTGTTAATTGGTCCTGACACGACAGTGGTGTTGATGGATCTCGGAAGTGTGTCCAAAGCCAGATGCACCATTGCTTCACGGTAAGGGATAGGTATTGAATTTTAATAACAGTAAATAGTTGCAATCCAGGAGTAACATGATGGTGTACTCTAATTGTCCAAGTAAGGGTAGTATCAGAAAAGACCATTCTTAGAGGCAGTAAGGGATGTTTTGACAACAGGAGTGGAGACCATTATCAGAGTCAAATGACTTATTTTGTTTTTAACACAATAGTGTCTACTGAGGTGGTTGAAAGGTCAGCTAATATCAGCTACAAAAGTCCTTTTCATGAACAGCCTCTCTCTGACAGCTTCACTAAACCATTGAGATGGATTTCACTTACTGATTTAAATACTTTGTGTTTTGGGGTGTGAGAGGCTTGGAGGGAAGGTTTTTAGATTATTTTTGTGTTTGAATGAGGTTATTGTTTTGTTTTTGTGTTGTTTCCTTTTGACAAAGGATTTATTGTATTTGATAATGACACTGGCTCACCTGCAATGTAGAAAGTCTCTTTATGAGCCAAGTGGCCCATTAGACCAGCGCTTAAATCCAGTTTCTGTAGCATGAAGCAACCAGGAGTGTTTTTTATTGTCCCCCCTGGATGGGATGCTAGTCCATTAATTGCAGGGTTACCCCCCCATCCACCATTAAATTCACTGCTTCCCATTTTAACACCTGGGTGACGAGAAGCACTGTGAGAGTAAAGTGTCTTGCCCAAGAACACAACACAATGTCTTCCACCAGGGCTTGAACCCGGACCACTTGCTCCAGAGTCAAGTGCACTATAATCATACCATGAGGCCACCATGCTACCTTGCACACAGCAATTTGGTACGAATGATAAACAAGAAACATCAGTCATGTTTCGCTACAGAATTCGCTACAGAAACAGCTGGTGTAGAAACTTCCTGGCTTATGAGGTGGATGTTATAAACTTAGCTGTCATTACCTCTTGGTTATTTATTTATCTATTTTTATGCAAAGGATTAAAAATAATTCAATATGCACATGTTTTATTGTACAGAAGGGAAGCCTTGGCCCTTCAAGAGAGGTGTGCACAGGAATGTACTGCAACATACAGGTGGGAATCAAGTGTTTAGTGTTATATAGCTTGATGAAACTGTGAGCTTACACCATATATAAGAGGATTTCAACCATTTTAAATTAAAATGCTGGAGAGGCCCTTAAAATTTAGTGTGTCATATTGCACCAATACATCAACTCTGATGTCTGATTTCCTGTAGATGGGGATTGTCGACCAATGAATGGAGTAGGGAG